CCTGAGAGGGGACATGGCTGAGATGTATAAAATTATGCAGGGGATGAATAAAGGGGATAGAGGGAAGCTCTTTTCCCTCTCATGCAATACTAGAACCAGGGGACATCTACTCCAATTGAGTGTTGGGAGATTGAGAAGAGACAAATGAAAAAATGTCTTTACCCAGCGTGTTCTTAGTCTGTGGAACTTCTTGCCACAGGATGTGGTGATGGCATCTGGCCTAGGTGCCTTTAAAAGGGGATTGGACAGATTCCTGGAGGCAAAGTCCATCACAGGTTACAAGCCATGATGGGCGTGTATAATCTCCAGGCTTAAAAGGAAGTACTTCAAAATGCCAGATGCAGGGAAGGGGCATCGGGAGACAGGTATCTAGTTGTCTCATGTGCTCCTGTCTATACAGAGTTGTACTCCTATTTCCCAATACCCCCAGAGGCATCTGGTGGGGCCACTGTGAGATACAGGACGCTGGAATAGATGGGCCCTTGGCCTGATCCAGCAGGGCTCTTCTTATGTTCTTATGGCTCTGCAGCCAGATACCTAAACCAATGAGCTATGGTATAATGGAGAGAGACATAACTCATACGTTCATGGGGGTTGCCCACCCTTGTCTGGCTTTAACCCAACACACAATTTGCATGCTTTTTGGGGAAAACAATAGGAAGACGTAATATAACTAAAGCTGGAACTGTAGCAACAGAGTAATAAAATATAGATTGTTGTTGTAGGTTTTTCGGGCTGTTTGGCCACGTTCTGGAAGTTTTTCTTCCTAATGGTTTGCCAGTCTCTGTGGCTGGCATCTTCAGAGGACAGGAGCTAGAACTCTGTCTGTGTTCTGGTGTAGTGTGTCGGATAGTTGAGTATTTGTAGCTGTGGAATCAGCTTTTGTCCTTTTCAGGAGATTGGGTGATTATGGTGATCAGGATGTTTTTTGTTATGGGTATAATGTTGCGATAAGGATTAATTAAAATATGGAATAATTTCCTAAGGCAAGATGGGGGCGTGGGACATAAATATAGGCTTAAGTTCAACTGCTAGTCTCAACTAGTGTATACCCATTGAAATCAGCTGCTGACACATTATTTCCACTGATTCAATGGGTCTACTATAATAGGGACTGTCATCTGGCCTAAATACATACCTCTGAACCACTCCTCCCTCTTTCAGTTTCAGTTATATTTTCATTCATCAGTTAAGACTGCAGCAGCAACAGCAGCACAGAACTGAATCACCAGGATTGTTTTTAGAGAAGGGACGAGAAATAGATAGCCCTGCAGCTATTGCTGAACTCCCATCCATCTCTAACCCATGATTGGGATTTCAGCTTAGGCTGATGGTAGCTGAAATCTAACAACATCTGGAGGGGTCGCATGTTCCTCCATCCCTACTTTAGGAACTGACCACATACTACTGCTCCTCTGGCATTTCAAGGTAGGCTGTGGCCTTTTGTGTCTTTCATCTAGAATAGGAAGCATGCCTACCCACACTAAAAACAGAGAAAAACTGCTCCAGAAAAAGCTTTACTTTGGGCTGAGATATCAGTAAGATGAAAAGAAGGGAGGTGGGGACATGTTAGGGTAGCAACAGAATATGTTTTAGATCAATAGTCATTTGAGGTAGAGGAAACTAAATAAAGCTAGCATCTATTCAATCTTCTTTAAGTGATTTGTTATATTACTTCTGTATTTGTAAATTTTGGATTTGAAGTTTTTCTGGTAATGTGTGTATGTACCCATGTCTATTCAAATAAAATAAAGCAGATTATACTTTGTAAATCCATTTCAAAGCACAGAAAATTTTAGCAGTTTCAAGTTAAAGATAGAAATTTCTGCACAAGAAGGGTAGGGTCCACAAGGCTGCAGGTTCAGCATGCAAGCAGTATTATATCTGCACAGGAGCCTCAGACAAAGCCTATCTTTTTCATCCCTGGATCTGAGGTTGACCAAATAAGTGCATCTGACCTTCTCGCACATTGAATATCTGCCTAGAACTAGGATTCAGGTTAAGTTATCTGAGATAATTTGAACATCAAGACAGCCCACAAGAGATACCACAATGAGATTAGAAAAGGCCATTCAATACAGTTAATTTCTTAATGCAGAAACATTAAAGCAAAGCAAATGACAACATGTGGCCAAAGAACAACAAAGAATGGATACAGATTGCTTTTCCTGTTTTATTGACTGCGAAACGTTTTATGTCTCTCAGTCAGCAGGAAAGCAATACTTCTGGTTAAAAAGTGTTTTAACCAACACAAGTTTTATTTACTTTTCTTCTTTCTTACTTTGTTGGTGGCTTCAGTTTCCTCTTCACTCCAAGATAAAGTTTTAGTGAATTGACCGGCAGTACTTTCTCAGGTTTACTACTCTGTTGGGATCAGAAATGATTAAATTTATAGAATATATATGTAGAAACAGAAATGTTGCATAAAATCACCTAGATCTGCTTATCTTTTAAACATCCTGCTTCACCATTACAAGGCAATTAATCCCAAATAATTTATTTTGCAGGTACTGTAATGTGCAATTGGCAACAATTTGTCCTGGCTTATGTAGCTAACACCTACTATTATGACTGCCATAATTACTATTGTTGCCTTATATTAGTCTTTGTCATGCTTCTGCTGGAGAAGTGGACAAGGACCAAGAACCTCTTGAGCCACATGGCAAAACAAACAAACAAACAAACAAACAAACAAACAAACAAACAAAAGCCTGGCAGCTTCTGATGTCCCAGGATTGCAGAATTCCTTCAAGCCAAAGCAAAGCACCCAAGGAAAGCCCTTCTGAGCACATCTGATGCTGGGAAACATGCAGCTGGGTCTAGGGTGGGGCACAGGCTGACTCAGCTGCTTAGCTGCAGACTGAAGCAACTACTGGGAACATTGCAATTACCTGGAACACCAATAATCAAGCTTTTTTTCCCCTGAATCTTTTCCTCTCTTGTCTTCTCTGTGAATGACCCTGGTCTGTACCTTATTACCACTTGGCAACCTGAGTTTAATACTCTGCTGACTTACTATATCTTCTGGATGCTCCCTGTTCAGGCTGAAATTTGGTAGGATTGATTCATGGCTTTGCCTCAGCTTGTTTTCTGATTCTCTCTTGGTCTGTTCCTTAATACTGCCTGCTGCCACCTATTTTGTCCCTGGTCTGGCTTGGTGGACCTTCCTTTTGACACCCGGAAGTACTGCATCCTTGTCTAGCATGCTTCCTAACTGGCTGGGCAGTTGCAGGCACAGAGCACAACAGAATTATTGTTGTGGTTATAGCAGGAAAAGTAACAGAAGGGGCTGTATGGAAGATAGACATGCAAAGACTAAGAGGACTTTCCAGAAGTAAGGGACAGCTAGCAAACACACAACCTGTGTTCAAAATCATGCAAAACATTTAAGATATATACAGCATACAGTGAAAAAGCAGCTGTTGTGCTCTGGGTATGTAGTCACTACATTTTAGTAACACATGATCAATTCCTTGTATGGTTGAGCTCATGAGATACCAATTCTACCACAAAACCAGTTGTGGAAAACTCTGGTTGACTGACCGCTATGATATAATGGTCCAACCTCCTCCTCACATTCCCAGAATAGTTTTATAATAATGCATTCTTCATTTTTTAAAAATTAATCAATGAACAAATGCTAAATTGAAAGAAAGAAAAAATCTGAAATCACTAAGCATTAGAATTATCTGAAAAACTATGTATGTTACTGAAATGTGCCTGTTATGTATAGCTTTGTTGAGATATTCTTTCTGTGTAGACCCTATGTGTGGTAGACAGCAGAAATATGCTGCTGTTCTAGCCTTCCAATCATATATGGCTTTACTAGACTTCTGCCAAGAACACCTGAATGAGGTTTCTGTCTGTCTTTTTCAAGGCAAAGAGAGGAGAAAGACAGGCCTGGTTTGCAAGCAGTGGTGGGGGATCTACAGTGACTGCTATTTCTACACATTCTAGATACATGTTGTAAGAGCCAAAATGTTTCCTCTAAGGCCAATCTCTATAATGGAAAAATATAATAACAAAGTAAGAACAAGTTAAACTATCATCATCAATCATTATGCAGCTTCATTTCGGGTAGTGGATTTTATCAACTGTGAACCCAACACAGCTGATCCCAATTTAATGGCAGCTCCTGCTCTCCTTTAAAAGACGACACCATAACATCCCCATGCTTAAGACAGCATGTGTGTCTAGCATTCACTGCTTCAGAGTTGTCTTATTGCCAGTCTCTACTTGGTTTTACATTTTTTAAATAAGGTTCCTCACCAAACTCCATTATTGTAATAAAAGTGGTCATTCATGCAAAAGAAATGTAATTAATCTAGGAATGCACAAATGAGTATATTTTTTAGAATAGTAAGTTCAAACGCATAATACAGGATCTTCAAACAATTAATGTAATATTCTGCATAATGAAACAAAACATCTTTGCTGATGTCTTCTGTTTTGGATGGTTTGCCCTATTAATTTACACCAATGTTTGGAGAAAGAAAAGGTTTCTGCAAGGGATTTTTAGCCTTGCTTCTTTGCATTTCATAATATGTAACGGCTGGAAACAATGCAATCCACTCCGAACCTTCAGGATAGGACAAGAGCAAGCTAATACAAGGAACATGTAAAAATGCAAATTCATAAACACTTCTTGGAGCAGATCCACTCATTAAAAAAAATTGGTAGTGAGCAAAACAGAGTTTAGATAGTCCTCCTATAACATCCAGTTTGCAAGAGACTGCTTGTTATCTTGACACTTCAAATACATGCATGGAAACCCAGTTCATACGGAGTGTGACCTGGGAATTCGATACAGAAATATATCAAAGCATGGCGTAATATAAGCTAGAGATGGGAAAGCTTTTCATTTCCATGGGCTTCATAGCATTCCTGCACTGTTCTCGCACTCTTGCTCCTCATCTCATGTACACGAACACAAAAGATATAGAAGAAGGGGAAGCTTACTGCAAGGAAGCCAAAGTTTTTGTAACACTGTATTGTTAAAATAAAGAATCAGGACATAAATAGTAGTGAATACTAAATGTCAGATATTAGAAAGTGGGACATCTTTTGTCTTTTTTGAAAAACCTTGTATGACAAAATAAACCCTTCTAGTGTCTTCTCTTATGTACACACACACATCACCATGAAAGGGAAAACATTTAAGTAAAAAAATCATGAACTTAAAAACCTATCATGCACACTTGGTAAGTGTTATGACTTCAATAATGCTCTCAGTTACAGATGTGTAAGTACTAAAGGTGCCAATTTATATTCACAAATGTGCTGATTTCAGATTATAGTATTAAATAAGTAGATACTTCCAATCTGCCTTAAAGCCTGTTACTGGGGAGTCTTAAGCACTGCCCCTCCTGCTCCTTGCTTCTTGATTATCCCAAGTATATACTGCATATACATGATGTATTGCCCCTTCCAAACTCTCCCCCCTCCTTTGCTTTTCCCATTGTCTAGATTCAGCATTGTAATTTTCCGAGTCCAGAGCTTTACTGATGGTGATATATGCAGTACATATGGAATAAAGAAATAGATCTTCGCCATCCGCAAAGCAAACTACTTAAGCAAACAGGCTTTTCAAGCTCCACAAATAAGTAAGGTCCTGCTTAAAAATGTTGGCAATACATTCTATATTCACTCATCAAGTGTGTTTGAATTAAATTCAAACACAAATCAGAATAAACTCCTTTTCAAACAGTCACTTTTTCACTTACCCTGCTGCCATAAATCAGGCTGTTTCCCAACTTTCCTCACAGGCCAGCAGAACAATAAGCTTGCAGAACAACATGCCAAACCCAACATAAAGGGAAAGTGTTCTTAAGCATAACTGTTCATGATTTAAAAGGGCTCGATATAGGCATCCATACCTTCATATCTTTGTAGAAGAGGAGATTTCCTTCCCGCAAAACAAAATAACGCTCTTGGAATTTATTTCCAGATAGTAATTTAGATGGCTCTTCTTTGTATTTCAGATAGCTGGCTTTTACTGTGCCTTTTGTATTTTTCTCTGTCAAGATGTAAAAAGAGCACTTTGTTCACTGGATTTTTATAAAAAATCATACAGACTAGTACAGAACTTATACAGCCTGTGCATTTATCTGCACAAACAGAAAAAAAAAAGATTTTAACTGCTGTCATTTATTTTGAACTTCATGGGCTTATGTAAACACAATAATTCTGCATGAATCAGTTTCTTTAAGTTAACTGCACCATCAAATACCTTAGTCACAGTTAAGTCTATGCCAGAAACAACAATATGAAATCACATAAATTATCCATGCCTAACAGCTCTTAGAGAAGCACAAAATCAGAACTGTACAGCTGGAAGGGACTTCAAGGGTCACTGAGTCCAACCTATGATTTACAGTAATAAGTCAGCTTCAAACTGTGGTATAAAATTGGCTTGTTTCCTTAAACCATGAGGAAAAAAAATCACAGTTCAGGATTCAAACATGATGATAAGCCAAACATCATGTGAAAAAGAGAAGCTTTCAATGTCCTTCTCATGGCTGCACTAGAGGAAAACAGATTAGTAAGCCTAAGGTTTGAGCACATTAACACAAAAGCATACTCTAATATTCCATCTGAACTATGGCATTTACAATGTTCACATGTACAGTAATGCTAAACCCCAGGCTAGGGAAGTCACTTTTTTACTAGACTACATGATGGCTGAGGGAGATTCTAGAGTTAGTAAAAAAAAAAAAGCAGCTCACTTTTATAAACTCTGGCTAAATCATATGAGCCTCAAGGTTCATGCATTCTTCCTTCCCTCCCTTCTTCCTCCCCAGACTTGAGGAAAACATTGGAAAGATTTGCTTCAGTTTTTAACTAACCACAGTTTGTCATTCTGTCTAAACCCAGACAAACTGTGATTAGCATTAACTATAGTTTGCTATAGTTTCAGTCCAGACATCTGATACAAATAAACAAGTGGCCACACATTCATATCTGCATGCCACTTTATCTGCTTCTACGTACCTATACCCACATAGAGTTGAACAGTGTTTTCAGCAGTCAATAACAGCTAAAAGCTTCTGAAATTATGGCAGTTCTCTTTGCAATAAACTGACAGTGAAATCATATTTGATTTTCTTTCATTATTTCCCTTTTAGATCCAAGTTTTGAGGTGTATCAGTGGTAATAGATTGAGCAATAATGCTGGAATCAGAGAGTCAATGTGATTGATTTAGAAAAGATTTGCTCAGACATAGGCAAAGGGAATGGAATATCTAAGTGCCTTCAAATCTATTCAAATGTACCTGTACAAGACAGGTACATTGTAACTTGACAAATCTCAGCTTAATCAAGGGGATGCAGCAGACCTACACATATGTCTCAGATTGAGAGATAGGAAAAGTTACTTGTTTGCACTACAATTCCCAGATTAAGCAATGTGCATGCTAACTACACAGGGTTGAAAGCCCTGCATAGAGTTGAAAGCTACTTATTTTAGGAGTTATAGTCCAAAAAAAAGAGGAATTTTCCAATATTTCTGCAAATCAAGAAATTTGTCACTAAAGAATTCAGACAAAATACTCCCTTAGCTTTCAGTGAAACAGAGTTAATTACATGCATCGTTCTTTAAGCTTCTTTAAAACAAACAATCACTCAAACAAAAACTTTTCATCCCTTCATCTTTTAACTGCATTGGAATGTTCTCAGCTTTGACTAGATTGTGCTCATATGCTGCGATAATATAATATAAAAGACCACTGCAGTTAGGCTTATAATAAGTCTATAATAGAAATATGCACATTTGCATGCACATACATTTAATATTCATGTTAAAGAGTGGCCACCAAATATGTAATCAAAGATGGCCACAAGACATTGCATACCATCAAAATGTTTTGGGATTCCTCTCCAGCCCCAAATTGGTTTGGCTATGGTGAAAGGACACCACAGACCTGAGGAATCTTTTTCTTCCCAATTAGAAAGGGGAAAAAAGAAGAAAAAGCTGTATGGTTTTTTGCACAAAATCCACAGGCAAGGGTGAGTGATACATTTTGGAACTTATTTTTAACAAAGAAACCTGATAAGCACATCTGGCCAAGATTTTTGGAACCTTTTTTTTTTTTTTTTGCATCATCCACAGCTCTTTGATAAGCACATCTGGCCATGATTTTTGGAACCTTTTTTTTTTTTTGCATCATCCACAGCTCTGTGGTACACAGCCTGATAAAGACCTGCACAGGGTTGAAAGCTATCTTATATCTGTAAAAAAAATTTGTTTACTGAAAGTATCAGTCACCCTTGCCTTTTCCTCCCCCATCCTCTCTATATTTAACTTTGTTCTGTGTACTTTCCCTTAACACATATAAAGAGCTGCCATCACATTACAACATACTGATATAGGGGGGAAAGCAAACCAATCCTGTTGAGATTTCTGAATAAATTTTAACTGCTATGGCCAGCATTTACAAGTATGACACCATCCCCCAATTCATAGACTTGCCATTTCACAATATACCAGGTATTACACACAAGGAATGTATGTAGTTGCCTTGTTAGTTAGTCAATTATGTGCTGGTTAAATCAGAACTGATTTATACCAACTCTAGTAGGACTTTCAAGGTAATTAAGAAATTTAAGGAGTGGTTTTACCAGTTCCCATCCCCAACTACTTTCCATGGCCAAGTGGGGATTTGAGTCCTGGTCTCTAGAGTCCTAGTCCATCACTCCATCCACTTCACCACATTTGGTACCTAGTTGCCTTCTATCTACTTAGAATTAGATAGCATTTAACCAAAGCTGAGCATGTTTTGGTCACATGTTCATTTGAAGTTATTTTATTATTGTCCTACCTAGCTGAGTACTGTCTACAAAATAGCAGAAACTAACTCTCTAGTGGTTGTTGTGGGTTTTTCAGGCTCTTTGTAGTTGGCTTGGGAGTGCAATATTTATGGCTGTGAGATAGGCTTTTAGTGTGTCTTGTTGTGGATGTATTGTTGTGCTAAGGAGAAGAGATTATCTGTCACTGTGGTTGATGGGTTTCTATCAAAACCCCAGAGAAAAATTCCTGGATAACATTTTGGCTGCTCTACAGGAGGAAAGCCCTCAGACAAAAGATGGTCAGGTTACTTTTGGATCATGACCCATATATCATATACAGAACAGCACTGTTTGCAAAAGCGGCCAGAAACATTCGTGCTAATTTCCTGAGAGCCATCACAATCAATTGTGTGGGAGACTCCCAGATATGAAGGGTCTCTTATTATTTTATATGTCTGTGATTTTATCATGATTTTATTTGATCATACTTGTATTTTAAACAATTGTGATGGCTTTTAGCTAATACAATAAACTTGATTGATTGACAGGGATAGACAGACATACAGGATACATAGGGACATAAGAAGATACCACAATTCTAAAGCATCCTAACATGTTGTAAATAACCCAGTGAAAACCTACTTCCACAGGTCACATGAACCATAGAGCAGGAGCCAAACCTCTGATTTGCATTACTTCTAATAAGATATAAGAACTCCAAAACACACAATGGGTTCTTTCTTTAGCTTTGGATGAAAGGAAAAACCTGGAGTGCTCACTACTGCCACATTAAGTTGGTGCACTAAATAGAACATGGAACTTTGGTCTGTTCAGCTGCTCTGGCTTTATAGGAAGAACAACTAGGCAGTATGCACTGGGATTGTGTTTCTGAATGACAAGCCTGGGTTCTCCGCAAATCCTGGTTTGTCTTTATATGGCCTGGTAGAATGTATTTTAAGCAATTTTTTGTTGTGTTCCACTGTTATTTATAAGTCTAGGGAGATCAAAGGGCAGAATGATAATTTGGTTCCATTGGTGCCATGCACCACTTAGCTCATTGAAACATCTTGGAAACTGAACTATCAACCAAGATTAACAAATGAAGGTCTTTGTTGTTGATAGTGACATGGAGCATTGCATCCTTTAAAAATAAAAATCCGTTTTTCTACATACCACTGAACTGTCTCATTGCGTCTGCTGTCATAAACTTCTTTATCACAAGATATGCACTGCTGGGATTAGACAAAGAACTCCAGTGAAGAATTTGTTCTAGAATATTCTCAGTGTAATGCAAAGGACGTTCTGGAAGAAGAAAACCAGAAGAAAAGGTAACTATTTGTGAACCTCTTAACACAGCATTTTCATTTCTGATGAGCCACGTTGTGCATTGTAGACATCCATGGATGTTCAATTCCACATTCCAGTCAAATACAACTATATAAATCATAACTATTTGATATTTCTAAACTCAATTACTATGTTTGCTGCTGATACGTGAAACATATGGATAACTTTTCTATTTATAATCAGTATCTACAGTAGGGTGCAAAACCATGACGATTAATGCAGTGTGTAAAAATAATTCAGCACAAAGGAAAAAATCACTCCTCTCTTTATAGCATTTATTTCAACCATTTCTGATAGAATGTATCATGTAGCCAACACTGAATTAATATACAACAATGAGGCAGCAATTGTGTACTTAGCAAATCACATGAGCCAATGGAACCAAACAGAATAATAGCTTCCAGGTATTTGACAATCATGATATTGAGAATGATACTCCCCACCACCACCACAAAAGTAACTTCTCCATACTCTGGTGCTTGCTCCTTAGATTTGGGCACACTGAGGTGTACAAGGGGCCACTGAAAATGCTTATTTTACATCTCCTTTGGTTGATTTTTTAAAGGAATTTAGACTCCATCATATGAAACCGAAAAGAAATAAACGTTATGTGAGATGGTATGCATGACTATTGAGGGACGTCGTGGCGTTGCGGGTTAAACCGCAGAAGCCTCTGTGCTGCAAGGTCAGAAGACCAGCAGTTGTAAGATCGAATCCACATGATGGAACGAGTTCCTGTCGCTTGTCCCAGCTCCTGCCAACCTAGCAGTTCAAAAGCATGTGAAAATGTGAGTAGATAAATAGCTACCACCACAGTGGGAAGGTAACGGCATTCCGTGTCTAGTTGCACTGGCCACATGACCACAGAAACTGTCTTCGGACAAACCTATGCATGACTACATTTCCTTGAGAGCCAGAGTGAGTCCATATTCACCCCATCATACATTATGTCTCTACCACAGTTTGGAATAGAAACCTTGTTAGGTGTATGGGCCCTCAGGCCCTGCTACCAAATCTAGTCCTCTAGGGCTCTTCCTCCTCTGGCGTCAAGCCCCATTTCTATGACATCATCAACGTTTTTCAGTTTTGTGCTGCCACACTCCAATGCTGTAAAGTATAAATGTGTATCCTACAGCTTAATCACTGGTAATCAAAACAATCAGGTAATGGGGTGGTTGGTAAATGAATGAATGAATGAATGAATGAATGAATGAATGAATGAATGAATGAATGAATGAATGAATGAATGAATATTCTAGTAGTTCTGATTCTACCTTTCCGCCTCTATCACCTACTGTACCTCTGGATGGGGCTCTAAGGAATTTCTTTAAAATTGAATTAGGATCTTGGACTGAAAGAGATGTCCCAATCTTCAGCTAAGTGCTGGAGGAGAGCATTGGAGAACAGATACCTGCTTTATGTGCTTAAGCTCTCTACATTGCTTCCAACTCTGAGCGGAGCTTTATAACCCCTAGGAGAATTATTGCTGCATGGGCGTGTAGCAGTAGATATTGTGCAAGACAACAAATCAGCACAATTCACACTTGTGGAAAAACAGTCCTGGCAATCGCTTTGCAGTTGGATGGGAAGTGGTTAACAGATGAAAAAAAGAAGTTAGCTTCAGGGATTTTCCCTTGAGTGACGTCACTTTATGAATGGTACTGAGCACAAAAGGGTATCCTTTTATGAATGGTACTGAGTACAAAAGGGTATCCTGTAGACCACCTTGATTGCTTCCATTGGTGTTGCCAGCATTCAGGATGCCCTTTGCTATCTAAAACTTGACCTCCTTTCTGCTGCTGACAATGCAGTCATGATATTTTCAGCAATATCAGACTATTTCCTGGCTTTTTAAAATCATGGGTTGAGAAGCACAATATCTCACACTCATTACTACAGGTCTTTTGAATATTTGAAAATTCAATTAGAACAGGCTCCCTTTTTAATACCACCCCCCTGACTCCATGTACATACAGCATGAACTGACTGGGAGTATAACCCAGTCCAGCCCAACCCAGCCACACATCGGGAAAGCCTGCTTTAAAAACAGGAGCAGAATAATTTCCATTTAAGGAGGTATTAACCTGGCAAGGATAAGTTCCTTTCTAAATAAATGGAGAGACAGCTAAAACAATTTTATTTAAACATTAACACAGCTTTCCTTCAATGGTTGTATGGGAAGTTTAATGAACTCTATTTTTCAAAGAAAGCTAATGCCCTAGCTTCAGTTCCACCCTAAAGCAAAAGCTTCTGGAGAAAAAGGGAGCAAAACAAGACACTTCTAGGAATAATGTGAGTGCTCCCAGAGCAAACACCTACTTGCTTTATTTATAGTTACGATGAAGACCATCTGTCATAATGAATTATATAGTACATAAATCATTCTATTTAAAAACTTTAGTTATTTTACTAGCAATACACCTCATTTGCAAACTATCCATCACATAGAAATTGCAACAAAAATTTATATACTTACAAATCTTTTTTTGCAAACACTCTATATAAGGCCAGATAATTTTGCCAATTATTTCTGCTGCTCTGTATATAAATAATTTAGCTGATCTTAAATCATTTGGTTTCAATATTTCAGACATCTAGCTGTCAGACTTACATATCCCATTATTCTGCTCCCAAGGTCATTATGTGTTTGTCAGTAAATAGTGAGGGAGCTATTTGTTCCAATCCCACAATAAATATCAGAAGGAAATTGCATTCTTGAAAACATAAGATGCTAATATACTTGTCCTCATTCAGAATGTGGTTTCAGCCAGTTAAACAAATTCCAGTTGGAGCCAAGAGTTGTGTGTTTGTTTGTTCAGAATTAAATTATTTCTGCAAAACAGACGATAATGTCTATAATGAACTTAATTTCATCTGGAAGACCAGCTCACCCAGGTTAGACTATCTGAGAATAAAAGGAGGGGTTTAAATGTGGTTAACCCACTAGGGATGTAAATCCTCTCTTGCCTTATCCTCACAATGGGGGACTGAAATATTATTCGCCTTGCCTGCGAGATGGAAAGGAGTCTCCTAATGTTCTCAATAACTTGCACAAAATTACCTTTTTCACAAAAAAAATCCTTCAAATCTTAAAATCACTGAATGGGGCTGAAAGGAACTGTAGGCAAAAACATTCAGAAGGCCAAATGCTCCCCATCACTGGAACAGATAATCTTAAATATGTAGACACTCCCCTTCCCTCTCCATCCCCAAGAGGATAGTCACTAACCTAGTTCTCCATTTTCAATCACTTCAAATGTAGTCCATACATCATCCTTGTGGGGGGTAATGTTTTTTAACCCCAGTATATCATTAGTCAATTCTTCTGCCTCCATCACTGGCGATACCTGTTTCAAAGACCACAAAAAGAATTCATTCAAAGAGGTGGCAAGATTTTAATTTGTGCTGGAGTTTTATGCTCTCAATCATAGGAGGAAAACTGCCCAACCTCTTTTGTAAGAGCAATTGCAAAAATGCCAACTTTGGAAATCCATTCGTTATTTTATCTCATTCACTGCCAAGACATCATTAACTGCAAGAAGAGACTGGAAAGGATTCACAATACTTTAGAAAAATAGAGAGGGATGCTACTGAAAGTATTTTGCCCCATGCCTTCTTTTCCAGAAGCTTATTTGATATTTCTGAAAGTCTGAAAGAAAAATAATGTCACAAAAAGAGACAGACTTTTTCTTTTTTCTTTCTTTCTTTTTTGGCAGGTTTTACTGACTGATTACACACTGTCTAAAATTATAACAAAACTGAGCACTACAAAGTTCTTTTGTACTTTGTTAAGGTAGGTGCTTTAACTTTCTTTCTCCTCCTCCACCACCCACTGTTGCATATCAAAACTAGAATGATTCCACAGTCAATCCAGACCTTTCCAAACTGCACATTACATCCAACACTGGAAACTGCAATTATTAGGAGCAATGAATTTCGGTTTTTCCACAGTCAACAGCGCTGCTGGCTCCAAATAATGGCAGGAGCAAGGACATTTTGTGACCTTGAATCATTAAGTAGACACGGCAATTGCTAGGGAATTGTTAATGTCTGTGTATTGTAAGAGTAAAGGCAATTACATTTTCAGAATCAATACTTCCATAAAATATCATTAAGGCACAACTTTTATTTTAAGTCATTTTAAAACAACATGGCTTAATTCAGCAGAAACACATGGCTGCTACAGGTACAAAGAAATGACTAGTGGGCATGGAGTTCCCACTTGGTAGTAGATGAGGCTCTGTATTATGTTACTGTTTCTTAGATCTTGGACTAATGCTCTGTTTTATAAGCTACCTAAGAGTGCTTAAGCTATGGGCAATACAGAAATAATTAATTACTAAATCACCTAGAGACCAAGATTACTGGCAATTGCACCCATCACTTACTGAGGAAAAAGAGAGTGAAGAGGACTGGATTCAGTCTAACTTGCTCTATCCCTTTTCATTTGCCCCAAACAATAACATAACTTGGCAGTGAAACCTGCAGCCCTGCATATTTGTCTGTTGTTTAGTACTGTATACATCTACACATATAAGCCTACTCCCATGCACTTTATGGCTGGACTGGGATCATCATCTACAAACTGTAATTATGCTGTTGAGAGAGAGAGAAAGAGAAAGAGAATGAGTATGGTTTTAAAACACTCACCCACACCCCTAAATAAATACAGTAATCCCCCCCATGTCCACAGAAAGGGTTTCAGGAGTTTCAGTTATCTGTGGTTTACCATCATTTGCAAGTATTAAATGGAAATTAAACAATATATATGTAAATGAAAAATGACTAACACCTGTGAGGAAAAAAACCAGTACTGTATACATATATACATATAAGTCTACTCTCATGCACTTTATGGCTGGACTAGGATCATCATCTACAAACTGTAATTATGCTGTTGAGAGAGAGAGAAAGAGAAAGAGAATGAGTATGGTTTTAAAACACTCACCCACACCCCTAAATAAATACAGTAGAAATCCCCCCCATGTCCACAGAAAGGGTTTCAGGAGTTTCAGTTATCTGTGGTTTACCATCATTTGCAAGTATTAAATGGAAATTAAACAATATATATGTAAATGAAAAATGACTAACACCTGTGAGGAAAAAAACCAGGAGAAACAATGGTGTTTTAATGCAGTGGTCCCCAACCTTGGGCCTCCAGATGTTCTAGGACTTCAACTCCCAGAAATCCTGGCCAGCAGAGGTGGTTGTGAAGGCTTCTGGGAGGTGTAGTCCAAGAACATCTGGAGGCCCACAGTTGGAGGCCACTGTTTTAATGAACAAAGTTTCCAAGGGAGCCATTTCTTAAGCACACATGAAAGATCTTTGCCTGCTAGGCAGGAGACTGGCTACTCTGACTTTTTGCTTCTGCTATGAATCATGTGGATGCCTTTGTCCTGTCCCCCCTGATAATTCTAGCATGGTTTGTGTGTGTGTGTGTGCGCGCACGCATGCACATACACATGCATGTATATGTGGCAGTTTCAGGCATCTGTGGCAGGTCTTAATATATCACCACGGATACAGAGGGAATCTTGTATAAAGAAGCTTGTATGATAGAGCACACTTAAGTAAACATACATTTTAAACTCGAAACATTACACCTGATTTAAAAAATAGAGTTGTTTTTTTAAAAAAACGTGAATATACAGTAAAAAGATATACAAACTCTTATTATAATGCTGCTGTCTGGCTCTTTTCTTTCCACATAAACTTCAATTAACAGGTCTCCAGCTTGGGAAACCTACAGTAAAAGAGAGATTACAAAAATTAAACAGTGGACAGAAGTCTGTTCCCCCGTAACTTCCTACTTTTGTTGACTGAAGCCTTCTGTGCTTGTGATCCTCACAAAACAAACCTCCACCTGCACAAGAACCTGTTAACACACAATCAGGTACATTCATCTACAGATACATCTGATGGTTTTGCATGCATTGTATGTCACACACAATTTGCAGCAGGCAAGGCAAAGACTGAACTATGCTCATAACTTCTCTTTTCTCCTGCCATCAAAATAATCACATCTTGTTTAACAACAGCTGGAATATAATCATATATTAACTTTTGCTTATTTCCAAAATTCAATGAAACTTGAAATTTTTAGATCAAAACTGATGCCTACAACAAACCCTAAAAGCCACATGCTTGGTTCAGACAGGAAAAATCTGCCTTGTTTGGGTAACACAATTAAGGCCCCTGGACTGCAAGGAGAACAAACCTATCAGTTCTAAAGGAAATCAACCCTGAGTGCTCACTGGAAGGACAGATCCTGAAGCTGAGGCTCCAGTACTTTGGCCATCTTATGAGAAGAAAAGAGTCCTTGGAAAAGACCTTGATGTTAGGAAGGTGTGCCGGCAAGAGAAGGGGACGACCGAGCTTTTGCTTATTTCCAAAATTCAACAAACTTGAAATTTTTAGATCAAAACTGATGCCTACAACAAACCCTAAAAGCCACATGCTTGGTTCAGACAGGAAAAATCTGCCTTGTTTTGGTAACACTATTAAGGCCAATCCCAGTAATATATCTAGTAGCAGGTTCTCTGATTCATTAAGAATGGGAATGGCTGTGTTCAGACATCACAATAAACCATGATCTATAGGAAATGAAAAAAAAACATAGAGATTGCACTCACTCCTGTTCTCCTCTGGCACCACTGCAAACCAATGCTTAGAAGCTTCAGCTCTTTTTTTCCCCTTTTCTTTCTTTTTGTTAAACACAGATTCATTCAAACCCCACTCTCAAAAAGGCAGTGCATTTTAACACTGGCTTATCTGCGCATGTGATGAAACAATCTGTAAACAGGCCAGCAGGGCCACACAACCTAGTCTTATATCATACTGCTATGCCCAACAGTAGGTGAGCACATCATGAGAATGCATCTTAAGGGCATCTACATAAATACCATCAAATGCACATAGAAGTCTACCATGAGAAGGGATCCTGAAGTGCCAGCAATCTCTTATTTGTCTGCTGATTTATGTGCTCAGATCCATATGTATACAGAGCTCTTTCCAACATTTTCTACATGTGGAGTGGATATGTATAAATTATGAATCTTGTATGATTAATAGTTTCTATCACATTATCTTCCAATATATTGGAAGACATGTGACCTACCTATAGCTGTGATCAGCCAAAGTTTAGATGTAAAACTAAACTGTAGATAAGTAAAATTAGAAGCAATAGTTTCTCTCTCTTCCTTTCAGTCATCCTGGAGGAGAGCTGCAGAGGAAAACTGTGAATGCAACAATTGCTGAATATATGAAAGAAAAGGTAGCAAATTTACTGAATAGAGAAGAGACAGAAATGATTTATTTATTTCTAATTAAGATGGAAATATTAATATCCATTCTAATGCAACTGTAAACATCTTGCTGCTTTGAACACCTAAGCTAACCAAAGGTGAACCATTTTTACATTTTCGTTTTGTGCTACAAGAATTCTATTCACAACTACAAACTACTTAATAATGGATATTTTTAAAGGCAAGCTGTAATACACCAGAATTCCTTTCATCAGAGGAAGATCTGTGATACAGGTCTAAATGACGGAAATGCCAAATATATAGCTGTATATTGTCTCCCTGCTTATTTAACTTATATGCAGAATACATCATGCGAAAGGCTGGACTGGATGAATCCCAAGCTGGAATTAAGATTGCCGGAAGAAATATCATTAACCTCAGATACGCAGATGATACCACTCTGATGGTAGAAAGTGAGGAGGAATTAAAGAACCTCTTAATGAGAGTGAAAGAGGAGAGCACCAGAAATGGTCTGAAGCTCAACATCAAAAAACCTAAGATCATGGCCACTGGACCCATCACCTCCTGGAGTTGGGTCAAATTCATGTAGGTAGCTTCGGTGACATTGTCCAACCGTCTCATCCTCTGTTATCCCCTTCTCCTCTTGCCTTCACACTTTCCCAACATCAGGGTCTTTTCCAGGGAGTCTTCTCTTCCCATGAGATGGCCAAAGTATTGGAGCCCCAGCTTCAGGATCTGTCCTTCCAGTGAGCACTCAGGGTTGATTTCCTGCAAAATGGATGTTTGTTCTCCTTGCAGTCCTGGGGACTCTCCTTTAGACACCCTTAAATTTATCACTGGTAACTTCTTAATTTCCCATTATCCCAAGGTAGCTAAATCAGTCTCTGATTTGCCATCACCATCAAAATGCTACAAGCTGACATCAGATCCAAAACACACTCTCCACTTTCTCATTGGCTCAATACCCACTAGAGGAGCAGCCTGTCAAGGCATAGCAATTGAACCACATGGCATTCCTCCACTACCATTTACCTTTGTAACTCTAAAACTAAAACTTAAAAACATACTGGAAAAGGACCAAAATTATCCCCTGTTCAGTTACAGCCATCTGGTCATTTAATTGTTTTTATCCTTGGAAAAAGTAATTAATTACAAGTAACTGCTATTTGTAACTTACTACTACCAACCAAGGTTGAAAAATGGAAAGTTGCCCCTCATTTAGCAGCAATCATAAGGTAATGTAGCTATGCTTTAGTTCTAGGGAAAAAATCATTATACATTTTCAGTACAAATATGCACAGCAACAAATTTCCTATTTTTGTTTGGATTCTTTTGAAGGTGCCTCTTTATCATATTTTTTGTGCACCCCTTCTTTTTTTACATTAAAAAAGCTTCTTTCAGATTCATTCATTTCAGTTTTCCCATTTGTGTTTCCTGGCATTCCCAAAAGACCTAAAGCATCTTAAAAAATACTCCCCCCCCCAAAAAAAAGCAACAAGATATATATACAGTAGGAGCCCCATATCTGTGGGAAATTTGTTCCACAATCTACTATGGACACCTGAAATTCGCAGATATATGTACCATATATATGGTTCTATGCTGATATATATATCTGCCCTCCCCACCAATGTGGCACCATAACAATCCTGATATTAAACAGCCACATTCATCATTTTGTTATATAGTAGGCCCCTCGTATCCACAGAACTGGTATCTGTGGTTTCACTTTCCCCCAGTTTACTACATGCTATATACAAAATACAATATATATTGGGGAAGTCATATTTATTGGGAATATAACTTAGAACAATACTGAGTAAAAAAGATGTGGGAAATATTCCAAGTCACTTTCTGTAGAAATACACTATATTCTGTAACTAAAACACACCATACCACTATGTTTCAAAAGAAGCACATAATGAAGAAATTAGGCCTTTAAGGTCACAGTGGCCTTTGAGAATTGAAGCTAATGAAATCATTTGTGACTGGAGGGGAAATTACAAAGCAACTTTGAAGAAAGCTTCTTAATTACACTGGCAACAACTCAGAAAAACCCTGTTTCCCGGTAAAATTTGCTGTTTAGATGATATTATTGAAAAAAGATTGGAGGAAAGAATGGAGTTGACATTTGATTTCCACTGGGTGTATGTAAACAACTGCACATTGGAGAAGGGGGGAAATGTATGCTGCAAATTACAGCAGCAAACAAAAACAGCTGGCAAAGTGTTTCATGGATGGGGGGAAATGAAGAATGGTTAACAGAGTGCCAACTCGAATGGAAAACAAGGTCATCCTAAGCACATGAGAAGCCTGAGATTTTTCTTTTGAGTTGCAAAAGAAATTTGGGCTGAGTGAGTTTTAATTTTGAATCATCTTTCTATTTTTAATAATTTAAAAGACAGCTCCGTAACTTCTACCTCACTAAACAGCTTGTTTAATTTTTGTGTTAACAACTGCTTTTCACTGCTGTTTAGAAAAGGTAGGCGTTATGCAAAATGGACAAGTTATATAATTTTTGTCTTCAGAAACATTATTAGAGAAAAGATTCTCTCATGCAACAACCAGGTCATAAGGAATTCTTCAGCTTTCATATGCCACCTGTGTGCTTTGCTCTATATACTAGAGCAAAGCCTTGGACTGCATATGGATTGTGAGAAACTATGGGTTGTTCAGAAAGAAGTGGATGTGCCTGTTCTGTAACGTACTGTGGATAAAAAGCTACCATTAGGACATTATATGGAGAGACAGAATGGTTTCCTGTAGGCAAAGGTATCATTTGAAAAGGGTGCATTAAATTAAACTAAATGCTTTATTACGGTCATTGACCAGCAAAAAAAGGGGGTGCATTTTATCACCTTATTTTTTTAATCTGTATGCAGAACATATCATATGTGGAAGCTGAGTCATGGCAACTGGACTTCTTATTAGGTTGAAATATTTTGCTACTCATCCAAGTAGCTTCTTCAGTCTGAGGAGAGTTGGTAGGAAATGCCTGATAGATCACATTGGTTTCACTTCCCCCTGGTCTGAATAGACTCCTTAGATGGACAAAGGACAGGGATGGTGGTAATGAAAATCCCACTTCTGTAGTCCTTCTCCACCTATTGTCGTGGGTTGTTAACAGTTGTTAACAGTGGTCTTTCTGGTGTGTGTGGTCCTGACCTTACTGGGGATGGATGAAAGGGCAGAATGATAAATAGGAGACAGGTTGTATCTAAGACTTCAACCCCTGCTGAGTGAGGGATTTTCTGTATGCACATGTATGGCCTCACTGACCCCTCTCTCAAACCACCTATTCCTTTGGTCCAAAATGAGTACATCTTGATCATCAAATGAGTGTCCTTTGATTCAACTTCCAGATAAAAGAGGTTACTTACCTGTAACTCTGGTTCTTTGAGTGGTCCTCTGTGAATTCACACTAATGGATTAATCTGCATTCCAGCAGAGCAGTTTGGAAGCTTTAAGCACCATGTGC